TTAAGTAATGCCCCGAGTAAGAACTAGGGAAGCAAACGGCACAGGAATGCAAGAAGGTGCTAATTGCGCATTGTATAATCCATCCATCCCATTGGTTAAAACATGAMAATCTGCTATAATTTCACAAGTGAGCGAATTTTCTAATATTTTATTTAATGTCTGTTTTCGCTTTCATGAAAGCTTTCTTTAGCTTTAATATTAAGGCAATTCTACGTGGGGAACATAGCAAATTAGAAGCATCTTTTGGCTATTGTTTTGAGTGCTTATGATTGGATAAGAGCTTTTAATACAAAAGAAACTTTGTTTCAAAATAGAGTTTATCCACATTTTATTTYAAAAATGTGTTACCCACAGATGGATACATAATCAGTGTGAAAACCAAGACATTCGTACATGGGGAACTCTCTATGCCGCAGAACAATAGAGAGTTCCCTAGTTCTTTAGCGCATTGTTACTTAATAGTAACGAGACACCTGTAGGAATATCGCAAGTCACGTGACTTGTAAGGTCATGTGACGCTGACGAGATGCACCATGGGAATGACGGAAGTACAGAGGCTCGTATATTTTTGTTTTTCGTTCGTGTTTCCAGTGATTCAGGTTATTGTTTATTGTTTTAACGATAAGGATTATGGTCGCCAGAAGGGATCAGAGTGACTGCATATCAAATAAAATGTACATGAACAATCGTTTATATATGATATACATCAAAACACGATTCATTGAAGTTCTACTTTTGTAGACAATACAAATGGGTCCAAATTTCCACTGTTTTTGAGCATCGTTTTCCGATGTAAACATACTGTGACGTCATGATGAAATAGGGCAATTATTGTATTAGTTGTCTGGATCGAATACACGTAATTTTATTTGTGTTTTCTTTTCTTTTACTTTTCATACTTAAGAAACTTCTGAAGGAATTCAAACTTTTGGAACTGATGAATGTCATGACATCGATGATGTCAATAGCTGTGCGTTTATAATATGGGGGCTTAAAACATGTGATGACTACCACAACAAGCACTGCGCCTTCAGCTGTGGCTTATGTAAGCAAATAGACAAGTAGAATGCTACACCACATTAATGAAATACGCCAAATAAGCATTTTGCATCAAAATCAGCCATACTGGATTGGTATTAGTCACTATAGAACGTATTAGCATAACCCACTTTTTAAATGCTATGAGTTTGCTAATATTCTAATGAGATTGGCACAAGAAACAAAAGAGCAAAAACATGCTTGAGCGATTTCAGTAGCGAATATTATTTGTAATATTTTGAAATCACTCATAAGCATCTTTTGCTCTTTTGTTTCTTGTTCCAATCTCATTAGAATATTAGGAAAACTCATTAGCATTTAAAAAGTGGGTTATGCGAATACGTTCTAATCATTCAACAGGAACAACAATAGAAAGATCTCTTAACATTTACCTTCATTTTCAATTATTGTTAAGATATAAAAACATGGTTTCCCTTGTGCATTTGCTATTGTTACTAAAGCCCTGAATTAAATATAGTGACTAACAGTCACTAAGAAAAAACTATTTGTTTAGAAACTATTTAGGTTTGATTTCATGGACATAGTGTTAGCACTCTCGTCTCACTATATTTACCTATATTACATTATATTTACTTTGGCTCACTTCCTTTGCAGGCTTCAAAAAGAAGAAATAAAAACATACCACAAGAGACACTATCGTAAAAATGAAATACTATATAGATATCTATTTTGTTTTACACTAAACTTGCCTATGTGTGTAAGTAGATTAGTAAACTGGACAACCATACAAATGATAACAGTTTTGTCTTATATATTGTTATCAAGGCCTTGGTGTTATGGAAATAAGGGTGTATACATACTAATGTGTACTATATCCTGACTTATAGGCAAATTCACCTTCCCCTGCACRCACACTTCCTTTCAAAAATGGTCAATTCTTGGTGTGCAACCACATGACCAGGAATCCCCTGAGAAATAAAGAACAAAGCTATCGCCGCCATGTTGGATGAATGAACAAGAGAAACTAATGAGGAATGCTTTGTGRTTTTCATCCAACATGGCGGTGATGACGTAACTTGCACACCAAGAATACCAAATGTCAAATCTTTATGCACTAATCAATTTTAATATTTTTTTTAAATTTATATCATATTTATATAGTTCTCCTTCCCCCTTTTCAATTGAAACAATGGTCATAGTTAAGAAATATGGGCGAGAGGGCCAGAGAAACATAGCTTTCGTGTTGCATGGCCCCTACAACTGGCATTATATTGCAGACCCAAGAGAACTTAAAAACAACATAAACAAATTAGGTAATATAATACAAATTTTAGTGGAGATTCTGTTCAACTATTACATTTGTGACTGCTTTTTTTTCTGTGATTGGTACTTCATATGTGGTTGCATTTTGTTTGATTTGTGGCTGCAATTATATTTTGGCGTGATGCAGTTTTAATTTGTAAATAACGTACATACTACAATGTCTAGTACAATAATAGTACAATGGGTGTGATTTCCATGAGGCCTACACCTTTTTTTACTCCATACTTTGCAAGTCTGTGGTGCGAGCTTCGTTTTTTCGAGTGAAAACAGTTCATTAAGGCGGATTTACTTGGTACGATTGTATAGCATGTGACTTCAATGTAGAATGCGATTTCCTTATACGACAAGCCGTAGGATTTTAAGCCGTGGTTCAAAACCTTACTATACAAGTCGTTGGTTGGGGCATTTACACTTTCGAATTCAAAGCGAACCGCTGATTTATTTGACAGCAGATTCTCATGCGCAAAGATCTTACCAAACACAAAAGAGAAAATGTCGTTATTACAATAACCTTGAAATTTTGCATTTTCTCCGAGTTGAGACTAATTCTGTATTCCCACGAGACCTAAGGTTTTTACGGGTTTTAAAAGCCTTCTGGGAATATAGGGTTAGCCTTAACTTGAGGAAAATGTAAATTATTAGCGCTATTGTACTTACTACATTTTCTAGTGCATACTTTCAAATAAAGCAGTGGTTATTAATGGCATTGGATTTTGAAAATGGAGTATTTGGAATTCATTCGAGTTGTATACTACAACTCGAATGAAAACAACTTTACATCATGGCAACCTAATGAAACACTTCAGGTATAAGACAATAGACTTCGGAACCTTTTACGTCACTACTTGATTTTCAATGCATTGTGGGATTAGTTTATAGAGAAAACAATAGAAATCCGCCATTTTCTGTCCCAAACATATCCTACAATGCATTGCGTATACGGTACATGACGTAAAAGCTTCAGAGGTCTATTGCTAAGAGATGGAGTCGACTTGCTATCAGCTAAGGTACGCCCAAATTATATGGTAATTTCTATATCTGGCCCTGCAGTAAAGTGCTGTCTCAGCTTGCATATGCTTTTGTATATCTTGTTTCGATGTCCTATGAGGGTTATTCCAATTCGYTTCAATGCTTTATCGTCAAGTAAGGTTATTTGATAAAGTTCAGTYAATCCAGCATCCACAAAYTTGTCGCCATACTGACGCATGTTGATGTCAATAAGCCATTCTTCCACCGAGGTTAATTCTCCAAGGTTTGTTTGAGCCCCGACACTGGAAATGAAATGCAGCCATTATTGACTCATTTTGTTATATAAATAATAACTGACTACTTGAGCGGCAAAATGGCGGCCATTTTGATAAGGCGGTAAATACATGAAGCCGTTTGCCTGTGCAGTTAAGAAATATTCAATTAAGCATATTAAGAACAATTGCTCATTTTCTTCAATCATTTACATGATTCAAAAGACCGCGGCCATGTTGGCTGTATGAACAATAGACACTGTCTAATGAGAAATCCTTTGTTGAAGTTTAACCAAGGTGAGCGCTGTTTATTTCTCTTGCAAACGGAGGATTGTTGAGTGATGCGTTAAAAAGGTGGACGTTCAGGAGAAAACTACCCAAACTGCATATAGAATATGTCATTATTCAAAAGGTAAAGTGGAGCTAATTTTTAGGTTGGTGTACTATGTAAATTGTTTTAGTTTTGTACAACGTGTTTCTACCTTTATAGTACCTTCAACAAAATAATAGTTTTTCATTGGTCGAGAGGAGCGCAATTACAACGTTAATTGTACTCCTTATAAAATTTTATTTCACTGAATGCACTAGAAACAAAAAATCGCCCTATCCGGCTCGTGCAATTACGAAGAACTTTCAAAACATTACTCGTGACTATTCATTCCAAATTGTACTCAAGGTCGTGCGATTTCCTATGCTTATTGAAAGAGTTTGTGGTGAATTGAATTGACGCCAAAATCTATGTTATATAAGAAATGTTCATGCTCTCACGTTATCACTGGAAAAAATCGCGCGCTTTAAAGGTTGTAAATTTGATGTAAATATGATGTAAGTGTCCAAAATTCTGTAAATTTTAATGGAAATCATTTACATCAAATTTACAGAATTTTGGACACTTACATCATATTTACATCAAATATACAACCTTTAAAGCGCGCCATTTTTTTTCAGTGTTCGGTTCGACGTTGTAAGACTTCAGTTGTTTCATGCACATTAGTTCAAAGGTTTTTTTTTCTGCTTTTTTATCCCTTGTATAAAACCTCATATTTACCTTTGCGATGGAATTTCCTGGTGATTCATTTTGTCAGGCGAACGAATCATTTCGTCCAATCGCTTTACGATATCAGGGAACTTTGGTCGGCTGTTCATATCTTTCTCCCAGCATTCTAACATGAGGTCGTGGATCGATTTCGGGCAGTACTGAAAATCAATTATACATTTGAAAATCCAAATTCAGAGAGAAATAGTAATTCAAAATGAATATTTTTAAGCCTTCTGCGAGCGCATGTTTGTAAACCATACGCCCTCTGAACTCTTCATGAACCCATAGGAGAGAGCGAAATCATTGCTATATTCAGAATATGGTGCAAAGTTTGTTTTAGCACACAAAACCTGTGCTTGCACCAAAATGTACCTCATCATCAGTTTGATTTCAATGGCTGCATCGCGCTGCCTGACAGAAAGTTCTTTGTCGCTTTATTTAACTTCAATTTTCTAATCATTTTTCATCACATATTATAGGGCATTTTATGTTTGACCAGTATTTTCCAAAACTTTTAGACTTGAGATGTGCAAATTAAAAAGTATTATCATTGACGGATTTTAATGATTAAACAATATGAATCATCGACTTACCATTGGTGGAGGAAGACGGAATCCCCCTTCAACTCTGGTAAAAACCTTCAAAAAAAATATATATATAAGCCGTTAATGATGTACACTATGTACTCATAGAACAGATATATCTAATAACTTAAGTAAAATTCACTATAAATTGTGAAATAATGGAATTATCTTTTAGAAATATACCACAACAAAACTTATGACAAACTGAAGCTGAACTATTTACTTAGGATAATAGTAAAATGAAGTGTACATTCGCCATTTTGGCTATTTGATCACTACCATAATGCACTGCACCGAACGAACATGACACCATTACCTCTTCGTTCTCCCAGTCCCAGTAAGGCCTTTTTGCAAAAGCCATGATTTCCCAAAGTAAAATCCCAAAACTCCAAACATCACTAGCAGAACTGTACTTTCTGTATCTGATTGCTTCTGGTGCTGTCCAGCGAATAGGGATTTTACCACCCTATAGAATTTTAAAAGAACTTGTTAATAGACATATCTGCTGACATTAATATACAGCTGTTTGCAATAATTCTGACCCCCTCTGCCATATTTCATATATATCAAACCGACCCTAAATATTATGGGATACCATGACTGATATATTTTTTGAGTTGCCCAGAAAAAAAACTTTCTCAAAAAAATATCAGCATTGGTATCCCATAACTTCCAAGGCTACTTTGATATATATGAATATTAGTGTAGGGGGGTCAGAATTATTGCAAATAGCTGTAACTGAAAGTAAGTAGATATAAAGACTAAACATTTGATAAAAGACTAGTTGGCATGACAACAGCAAAAACAGTTAAATAACTTCATACACTTGATACATATGTACAATATTGCAATATAAATTATAGAACAAAAAGAGTATAGCAATTAAATAGAGGATATTACATAGGCGCGCGGAGATACAGATTTTATCCTCGAGTATTGAAAAGATCTCTCACGAGTGAGCGTAGCACTATGGTAACATGCTCGATGAAATCATTGCAATAATTAGGGGCTATGGGATTGAAATTGTTTGTTGTGTTACTAAAAATAGGGAAACTCACTTGAATGGTTCACTACTATACGAAAGTCCAGGGAACAAATATACTGTTAAATTGTACTGAAATTGCGAATTCCCTTGTGTTATATTCTAACCCATTATATATACACTATATTTGACTATTTAGCACCGTTTCGTTTGTACTTTTTCACGCTTTTGGAGTTTTTTACTAATAGTATTAAGGCCCTGACATGAGATAGGGTGCTCCTATGTGGTAGTTTTTTTTCCTTTGTTTTTTTGTTTTTGTTTTGTTTTGTTTTGTTTTTTTTCCTGGAGGATTGAAAACAAAAGAGTTTGGCTCTACACCTAGGGCCATTCTATCTCATGTAAACAGGGCCTAAGATAAATATATCACGTGCCTGTGTCATGTACACTGATTCAGGATTGTCTTCGCTGGTGTACAACTCACGTGACAGTCCAAAGTCCGATATTTTACTTGCAAAGTTTTCAGTTAAAAGAATATTACGAGCTGCCAGATCCTACGGAAATACAAAAAAAGCCCTCTTCAATGTTCAGTCTAGAAAAATAATATTTCATTGTTATAAATTACTAGGTTATTACCCTATGAACATAGCACATTTCTGTTAGATATGCCATCCCATTGGCCACACCCCTTGCTATTCCAACAAGCTGTAGTGGCGTTAGCATACCATCACGACTCTATAATGAAATCATTACTGTTTCAGTGCAATGAATCAATCAATCATCGAATCAATAAATCCATCAATCAATAACTGAATCAATCATTCCATCGATAGGTCAGTCTGTCATATGATAAATAAAAAGTAAAATGAAATTGCGTTAAAGCAGATAGTAGCCGCACCACATCATTCTCTAACCATGGATTATACTAACTCGCGACAGTCGTCTCTCACATTCTGAAATCCGTAAAGGGGAGGAAAGGGAAGAATATGGGCGAGTTATTAGATTATATATAAGTCGAATATAAAGTATACCACAATATATAGAAACATTTATCATTCAAACTAGAAGCAAACAACTGTAAGACACTGCTAGATGCAATGCAATCAGGCGTTGCGCCATAAGAAAAAAAAATCGAAACTTGATCAAGAGAGCAAGATTTAAAATTTCTCGGCTTCAATATGACAATGTGATACTTAGTTATAGAATTTATTAACTGTTACCTTCAGGAAATGATCGAGTGACCCATTCTCCATAAATTCTGTAACTATCATCATGGGGTACTCAGGACTACGCGTTACCACGCCCTTCAGTTCAATCACATTGGGATGTTTGAATTGACCCATGATCGATGCTTCTCGAATAAAGTCTTTCTTATTCTTAGTAGACGACGTCGGCTGGACAAAAGAAATGTGTCAAATTAAAGTGCTATTTGCATGAAAATGGTCTTATTTCAAAACTTCAAGCAATACAAATATATGTATCATTTATATCTATTAAAAACAATTGCGGGAAAATATTTGTTTTGGAATTATCCCACATCAGAGAAATTTTGATTCAAAAGATGGAAGAACAAAAGGATGAAGTAAATGACGTCATCTACTCCAACATTTTTTTCCCAAATTATTAAGGATTTGTATCAAAATCATCTTGAAATCTGCTGCTTCATGATTATTTACGATGGCCGAGAAGGGCCTTCTGATTTCCGACTTCCGACTTCCGATTTCGGACTTCTGATTTCCGACTTCTGATTTCCGATTTCGGACTTCGGAAATCAGAAGTCGGAAATCAGAAGGCCCTTCTCGGCCATCGTAATTATTAGACCCACATGGATAGTTCTATTTGATTTCCAAGTCTTTTCTAATGTTTCGCAATTTTCGTCCAAGTAGCCCTTTAACCAAATGCATTTTTTGCATCGACATTGATTTTCCTCTGCGTTGTTATCATTGGAACTAATGTAATTGTTGTGCAATCTCTAAGGGGTTTTAAAATCCGTCAGCCACACGCCCTTTTTCAAGACTTGACTCTTTTAGGGGTCTTTTGAAAATTTCTGGGGAACATCCCCGGTATTCCCAACCTGTTGACCTTGGCCCTTTGAGTCAAACAAATCAGTCTAGGTGTTTGATAYTATAGAATGAAATGTTTGGTAATAGTGCGCTACTTCGCAATAAGCAGTTACCTTTAAAATCTTCACTGCGACTACCTCTCTGTTTGATCCAGTGATATATATTCCTTTATACACGTCTGCAAACTCCCCTAAAGGAAACAAAATCAACAAATACTGATGAGAAAACTCGTTCTGATTGGCTGCTCCACCACTAAAATATCTTCTCATGTCTCAAAGAAATAAAAAACAGCGACTGAATTAAACTATATTGTAGAGAAAATAATCTAGATACTAAAAAGCAATAAACAATAAACAAACACATTTTTATGTGTTCCTGGTGAAATCAACCACTTGAGATATTGGCCTGGGAAAACACTCAAAAGGCTGAAAATCTCTCGCCTCTGGCTCGAGAATTTTGACGGCTTTTTCGTGTTCTTTCAACATCCCGTGTAATTTAATTATTTCTCACGAAAATGCGTTGAATCTCAACATGTATCCTRCCTACCTTCTCCAATATTGATTTTAAGTTCCAAGTTCTTCAATTCAATCTCGTTGGTGTGTGATCGCATGGCTTCTAAAGGACTATTGTAGTTACTCGGATCAATGAATAAACGTTCACTAGCCATAGGAATCAGATCTAAGATAACAGTAGTATTTTTTAGTACATTCAATTTCCTTACGATCGATCGAAGAAGTATGAACACAATTAAACTTACCATTGCTTGGACTGTTTTCCCTTCAAGTAAAAAAAAGTATATTATCAATGTGAAAGAAGAAGCAAAACAAGAAAAAGCAAATACAAATACAAAACAAAAACAATAAAGCAAAAGAAAACAAAAACCATAAAATTCACTCAAATTTCCAGTTCGTAGCCGATTACAACAATGCTAATGACATTATAATTAACAATTAGACCTCGAGGTCGAGTGGACTACGAGCTAATAGCCCATGAGGCCGAGTCCGCGAGGCCGAATGGGCTATTAGGTCGTAGTCCAGGAGGCCGAGAGGTCTAATTGTTTTAGTATAAACATACTAATCGGTCAAATAATGAAAACAAATTGAAATATACTTAAAACAATTTATTAATGAGATGCCGCCATTTTGATTTTTCCGCGAGTGGTCTATCACAAATTAGACCATTAGTAGAGTAGCCAATCACAGCGCAGTATGAGAGATAGACCATTAGTATGTTTATACTAATAGTGACTAGATTGTTATTGCGCATGCTCTGTGGTGATTCGGCAGCTACTATACTTACTCTTTCCTCTTTCTGYGTCGATAAATAAAAATAACAACAATAACACACACAAGTGCAATCAGGAGTGATACACCAATCACTATCCCCAGGATGAGTTCGGTAGAGGAACCTTTTTCACCTGAGAAAAATGTGTAATTTACTGTAAGACGAAATACTTTATTGAACTGTTAATATGTGGTATYTGGTTTGGGGTGCCCTACAGTGCAGACACAACCAGGAAACTAATTGTATAACTGAATTCCTTTTTTTCTATTCTCTAATTGAGACTTTAGCGATTTAGCATTGTTTTGTGTGTACTTTGTTTCGCTTTAATTAGTGCTTTTACTACTTTTACGTACTGACCAAGTGCTGAAAGTCAAAAACTAGCTGGCGCACATACAACTGTTAAAAACAGTAAATAATCGCACAAAAATTTAGTACGTATTCCAATTACATCTGTGTTTCCCAAATAAATTTCATACAAAGTCGTCTTAATTGAATTTGAATTTGAATAGTTGTATAAGCTTCTTGTGATCATGCGCTTTTAATATATTTTCCTTTCAGTATTGACTTAACAGCTTTTCATCTTTAAATTATGTTTTATTTATCGATATTGTTTGTTTCGCTACAAATGTATCTGCCGTCTGAGGAATCATGCACATGGAAACCGCTTTTAATTATACATTATTAATTATTGTCACCATGCACCCTGGACGCATGCGCAACACGTAGTAAGCTTACCAGTATGTGAACCTTTATTTGGTAGGACTATTGTTTTCGTTATATTGCTTGATATACCAAAACCTATATTTGTACTGGCACGAACCTGAATATTCAAACAAATTAAAGAGCAGTTAAGTTGAGGGCATTATGTGGTGATAGTACACCTCCCGAAGCGGGCACTATCGCGTCACGTGGTCAACTATCCGCCAATGGGAGCGGAGGAAATGTTTTATTTAAATTATAGATATGAATAGTCAAAAATTCTTTAAAAATAAGGTGAATTACAGCAGTGATGGTATAGAGTGCAAACACTAGCGATAAGTTACACACCTTAAAAAYATATTCTTTTCCATATATTAGTCCATTTATTGTGATGTTGTTTGAMGTTGTGTTCTTTGTCTCCTTCTCTGTTTCTTGACCGACGGGATAGTAGATTACTTCATAGTACGTTATAGCACCATTTGGTTCCTGGACGGTCCAACTTAGAAACACCGTTGTAGCGTTCAGTATTTTRACCGTTGTTACTACAGCAGGACCTGGTGCTAAGGAAATGTTATAGAACAACTTTCAGATTGAATTGTTTTTTTTTTTTTTTTTTTTGGCTATGATTACGTTAACTGTCAGGAAAAAAAATCAACAACAATTTTGCGATATCTTTTAAACTGTCTTAGAATCAGAGTGTGAATGATGCAGACATTTGGATAAAACTTGTGAGATTTCAAACTATTTTTATTGTCTTGTATTCACACAGATCTCTTGCATTTGCAAGGGGTTTACTGTATCCACAAGAGAATATATTACATGGTTTTGAAGATAGCACAGTGTACAAGAGATCACTAAAAGGGTTTATTTAAAGCTACCAGAGAATAAGAGAATACGAAGCTAAATTAGATGCAGTTTGGCAGCTGGGAGGGCAAAAGCATTGCAAGTAGCTTCCTTGCTTGTGTACCTTAAAGTGCTACTTGCATGAAAATGGCGTTATTTCAAAACTTTAAGCAATACAAATATATGAATCACATATATCTATTAAAAAAAATTGCGGGAAAATATTTGTTTTGGAATTGTCCCACATCAGAGAAATTTTGATTCAAAAGATGGAAGAACAAAAGGATGGAGTAAATGACGTCATCTACTCCTGCATTTTTTTGCCCAAATTATTAAAAATTTCTATCAATATCTTCTTAAAATCTGTTGCTTCATGATTATTAGAGCCACATGGATAGTTCTAATTGATTTCCAAGTCTTTTCTAATGTTTCGCAATTTTCGTCCGAGTAGCCCTTTTAACTTGTATTAAGATAATCGCGATTAACTTACTTGATTCGCCAGTTCTACTTAAAAGTGCTGAATACTTTGGATTATCGCCTTTCTTGTCTGCTTGAGGAGAGACTCCATTCTTAGCAAATACTTCGAACAGGTAATATGTATAGACAGAAAGATGATATACCGTTGCCTTCATACTACTCGTTGGAGCATGGAAAATAAAAGCACCGGTGCATTCCGCAGTGCAATTCTTGCCTGCATTGTTGCATTTCTTACATCGAACGTTAAAGTAAATATCCGATCGTCCACCAAGATTTGAAGGCGTTGACCATCGCAGTGTTATGAATGTTGCATTTTTGGAGATGACCTCAATCGACTGTGGTGCCGATGGTTGTCCTAAAAGAAGCAACCAGAAATCGTCAAAGCAAATTTAAGTTCCTTTTGTTTGTTTATTCTGTTGTACGCGTACCGGTACAATTGTCAAATGCTGATTCAAAGTCAGTTCTGTAAAATAAAGGCTTGCAATTGCACTTCTTCCTATCCTTATTCTGTATGCTGTTAAGTGGACATGGTTTACATGCACTACCACTTGGAGAACTTTGGTAGGTATCTATTGGACAACCTGAAACGAGGTAGATAGATGTAAAGGGCAGATATATTAAAAAAAATAATGTAATACAGCTGATTGGCAGTTCTCTGATATAGACACTCCTGAAGATGGAGATTACTTGAGAATCAAGAGGTGTTTTACTTCTCTTATGTTCTCCATCTCTCAGAGGACTGAGACACGTGCGGCCACAAGCATTTGATGATTACGTGTGTCGGCATGCAGTCAGTTTCATTGCTTAAAATGCAGCACGCTCGGCTTACCTTTGCACACTATACCAGGTCCATTCGAATACTTTCCATAGCCATATTTACACAAACATCCGCCACTTCCATTATGGCTACTCCAATCACCGTTAGCCTGGCAGAGGCCATATAAGTCAGCATTGTTCGCCAATGGCTGAGCATTCTCCGGACATTTCCCTGATACTTTTATTGTACCGTTAGCTGGGGCTATAGTTCGTGGTAATTGGACGAGACCAGTAGGAAGAGCTAACGATGGACAGACCGAGTAACTTATGGTGACACTGTATAACTGAAAACATCCTCCTTGATATTGTATAGCGAAGTAATGGTACGACATTGCATTATTTGTAAGGAATGAATATATCTCGGTATTCGCAAAACCTCGAGACAGAATATCTGAGCTCCTGTTTGTTGGAGACGTGGTTCCGAATATATGATAGACATCAGGTGTTTTCCAAGGTTCAGGGACTGTAGCTGATGTATGCTGTATTGCAGTCTTATAAACATAAAGTTTGAATGTTTCCTTGCAGTATTGCATAGACGGCACACTAGAACATTTAGAAACAGCGTATTTAACAGTAACATCAATTCTTCTTGCATCACCAACAAGGAACACATTGCTTCTTATCCACTTGTTTGGTTCACTGGGTGAGCTTACATCACATACTTGGTAATATATTTTAACATTTCCAACTTCAGGTTTAGTCCACTATGAAAATAAGAAAAAAGTACTCTATATGACCATAATTTCATAGGTACGTAATTCCATAATCAATTGATTTTATAAGAATTGACGAATATTGCTGCTCTTGACATCCGACAAGGTTCCAGCCACTATTTAATGTATTAAAAATTTACTGTTTGATGAATTAGGTCAAAAAGTGAATACAGACAAAGACACTTCAAGATGAAGACAAGAGTTCCAAAGCTCGCCTAAATTTTTGCCCCAAAATGGCATGTTTTCAGACGCATGCGTCCGCGATATTTTATTTAGCGCCCGCGCACCACGGAAATTGTATATCGGAACATTGGGATTCAAGATCGGTTGTACATCAATTCCATATTACCTGACTGCCCCAAGACCATATCCATTTACCTTGCGAATTCTTATACGGCACTTCCAAAATAGTTTCTGAAAGAAACAAATATAGCTGACTTTAATAAATTGGTTAATATATACAATTAGATATTGTCTTCACGAGTGCATCACAATGATGTTTTACGAGGCAAACTACAAACAAAAAGTGTAACAGCTTGTTTTCAGTCTGAATCGCTTGGGATTCATGAAAAGGTCGGCGGCCATCTTTACAGTGAGCATGGTTACACACAATTTATCACTAAAATATTGCTTGTATGTTTTTTTTATTTTTCTTTTTAATAGTTTCTTTCATTTTTTTTTTTCTCCGTACAATTTCCTTATTGTTGAAATTCTTGTAAGTGGATATTCTTGGGAAGAATTTTTTTTTTTTGGTTGAGCTTTCTGTGCTCATGGTGCAAATTCAGTAAAGGGAACCCGACACATATGAACACGAACTACTTAAACGATAGCTGGTCTGATGAACTCAATGTTAAAGTGTAATTGTTTTATACAAACACTTACCAAGTTATTATTATGAATTACCTCTTTGCATGCGAATATAGAAAGCACAAGCATATATCTAAGGTGATCCGGTTGAATAGATGAGGTGACGGTTTCGGCCACCATTTTGTTCCGGTAGGCAAAGTGTCGCAAAATAACAAGGAATGACCGGGAAATCGATGTCAAATAATTCTCGCTGAATTCAAATTCAGAAAGAATTATCAATTGCAAACGTTAGATACCTCAAAAAGGAGTTAACGGGCAAAATTTGAAAGGCGTACTTGATCTAGAGAGCGAGTAAACTCATTTTTAGTTCTCCATACATTTCTTTGTAATTTCAATACATTTCGTTATCATTTCCGGGGTCATCAGTGCGTGACGCGCGTGAAAAATACAAAGAAATGTATGGAGAACTAAAAATGAGTTTACTCGCTCTCTAGATCAAGTACGCCTTTCAAATTTTGCCCGTTAACTCCTTTTTGAGGTATCTAACGTTTGCAATTGATAATTCTTTCTGAATTTGAATTCAGCGAGAATTATTTGACATCGATTTCCCGGTCATTCCTTGTTATTTTGCGACACTTTGCCTACCGGAACAAAATGGTGGCCGAAACCGTCACCTCATCTATTCAACCGGATCACCTTAGATATATGCTTGTGCTTTCTATATTCGCATGCAAAGAGGTAATTCATAATAATAACTTGGTAAGTGTTTGTATAAAACAATTACACTTTAACATTGAGTTCATCAGACCAGC